AAACAAGATGACACAGCCTTTCACTCGTGACCCGTCTTGAAGTGTTAATTACAATGAGTATTGATTCATTGCTGTTTATAGTTACAAAATTTTGTTGATAAAAAAAACAGGAATCTATATCCTGGTCTAGAGAAGTGCTGTAATCCTTTCCATTAGGTTCTAGGGCAGACCGCTAGTGGAAACTGTAGTTTAATATTATGAAATGTTTGATTTTTTAAAAATAAAACTATTCTTCAAAACTGTTAACTATTAAAACAAGTGATTCAAAAACAGGCATGCACATGAAGCTGGAAAAATATATTTTATAGTAAATATTAAGATAGGTTCTATATTAACTTGATCAAGTACAAGCTAAACTGCATGACACATTGAGATCGTGCTTGGTTATTTTTGTCATATGTTTCAATTTAAAATATAATAAAACTATATTTTAATAATGAGAAAGTAAAACAATCCTTTATATTTATAATATATTATATATACCAATTTTTGAGCTTAAAACTAATCATCCAGAAAAACAGAACTTCCTTTCTAATTTATACTAATTCTAATTTATTTATAATTTATAGGGATTGGGTCTTTATATGATTCTGTTAGCCACATTTTCATCGAATACCACGAGCTAGCTGAACTTGTTAGTGTTTTGTGCTCTTTAACAAGAGATTATATTGGAAATAATCTTGACTCTGCAAATTCTATGAGAAACATTAGAATTTATCTTAATCATGTAGATATGAATCCCTTGGTGGTAAGAAGAATGATTAAGTGATTAAAAATATAGTACCAAGACCAGAGAATATTTCTTCTGTGTTTTAATGAAGGGCAAACATATGATACTAGTATAAAAGCCCATCAAAAATTATGGGAAACCATTGTTGAACGATTAACGAAAACAAATTAGTCTGTATCTCTAAAATGTATCTACTCTACACTTAATTCTTCAGTCTTGAAGTAATTCTTTAATCATCACATTTTTAGTAAAAACTACACAGAAAAATGAAATGTTATCATGAACAAAAGTACGTGTGCACTCTAAAGAGACTCAAATAGCACTCTTGAGCCTTTTCACTGTATTCTAGGCCAGGAAATAGAAAACATAGTGCAGCCATCCTGACACAAATTTTCAGCTCATTTGACTGTACAAAGAATAAAACATATTTGGTAGTAATAAATATTTATTTTTCTTTATGTTTTAAGTCCAAGTAGATAATATACATGTTAAAATACCAAAATAATATTCATTAATTAAAATTTATTCACCACTTAAAACTTTTTAAACACTGATGCTATTACATTACTAATAGTAGGTCTATTTGTAATCTAAGGCTTAGCTGAAACACTACTTGGTAAATTTTTAGTTTTCTTTTTGCTACAACTCAATGTCATAAAACTTCTGAATTAAACTATATGCTGTTATATTACAAAAGTTCTCAAAAATAAAGAATAAAACAAACATCTCTAACAATATGAATATTGAGCATTCAACATAAACACCACAGTTGACCTAAAAACAATCAGGTGATAGTTTTGTTGCTAAGCGACAATGCACATTGTTGAGCATTACCAAAAAAGGAGCATGAAAGCTTTCTTGACAGAGTGACAAAGGAATAAGCCTTTTATGGTTATTGATGAGTTTATTTTTGTTTTTGGTTGGTCTGTTACTATGTAGACAGTAAGCATGTACAGAGGAATGTCAAGTTGCTAATGTTACTGCTATTTTTAAATAGGGTACTAAAAGTTATAGGACAATTATTCTTATTTCTATATTGAGAAAATGTTTAGAAAACCTGATAATAGCCTTACAAAATCATTTAGTGAAATATCATTAAATAACAATAATGTGGAATCAATGAAAAAGTATTATTTCTTGAAAAATACAAGGTGTATTTAAGCTTGTTTTTCTTAAGGTTTGGGATACAAGGACATTCTTGAAGTACCAAATAATAATTTGTTTTACTTATTTTAAAGTTTATTCAAACTTCCACAAAATATAGATTTGATAGTGTTATTATGTATTGAAGATTAGCATAACAAATTGTTCACTATAATATGACTAGTTTTAATGATAGTCAGGTGTCAAACTCATTATTCATTGCTCTGGTAATTATAAACCTATAGTAATATTTCTACAGTGGGAAAAATGTTCAATGATAAAAGAAGCTTCGCAACATTATTTAGTGAAACATAAAAGAATGCCAACATGGATTCATTAAAATTTAAAGAAGTCTTAACTTACTAAACTGTTAATGTTTTTTCAGGTTATTACTTCTTATCTGGATGATGCAAAGACTTGGTGAAGTTAGATTTTTAAAAGGCTTTTGATTAGGCACTATACAGAACATTAGCTAAGGAAATCATTGATTGGGGAAAGACTAATTAATTGGACTGTACTGTTTGGTGGATAGATGAGAAAAAGCAAAAGTAATCAATAGTGCTCAGTAAAACTACAGACCTTTGTTTCTAGATAGTGCTGTGCCTGAGGAGTCAGTGTCTAGCTCTTTGATTTTTGTTATTTACATTACTGAATGTGCAAGGTCAATTGGTCCACCCTCATTGGAGAAGTAATGTTGAATATAAATAAAATTCCAATTTATAAAATGTATCATCAGGAAATGTGGTACTTTTTTGACATGAACTGTTATGAAATTAGCAATGTAGGGTAACATGAAATGTGGATAACTCTCGCATCAAATGCATAATACCACACATATGGGAACTCTATATAAGGTTGGAGCATACACACCTTGACCCCTACTCCTGCACATAGGGTTAATGACACATTTACACATTTTCTGTTGACATTAAGCTCTTGTTTATCTTGAGCTGTACTGAGGATACTGAGATACTACATAATAATCATGATCAATTGGTAAGTTGGACCAATAGTTAGTAAATTACCTTTTGATGATAATAAGCCAATTCAGTGTTATGAACATGCATGTTCTGTATTCTGTTCTAAAGTTAAGTGGATTCTGGATAATTATTTAATAACACTGTTACAGCTCACCAATAACATATAGTATCTTGTTTTGGTTATTTCTATCCAAGTTTGCTTCACCACCTCCTAGAAATATGTAAAAAAAATCTGCATAGTTTTTATGTCTATAACAGGAAAGCTTGGAATTTATTTTTTACATTAACAAAATTAGGGTCTTAGAGGTCAAAATCAGGGTATACTGGGTTACTACAAATGTTTTTGTATAGTGTTCCACATCATCATCTACTTCTGGTTTGCTTTTTTTTTTTCTTCCAACTATAATTACTGTTCATAAAGTAGCTAGAAGATGAACATGAGTGCAATCATTACTTATTTTATAACTGCTGTTATATGTAAAAAAAAAAAAAAATGCATCATCTGGCAGAATGACACATCACTCAAGCCACTGAAGCATTGCACTATTGCTAGTACTAAAGCTAACAGAATTTTTGATCATTTGTATACATATTACAAGTCAAAATAGGTAATTTGTTGTACTTCCATGGAACAAATAACAATCTTGGATATCAAAATATTTGCAAATTAGTTTTTGAAAGTAAATAAACAATAAGTCACA